TGTTTCATGTCAAAGAAAATAGAAAATAACCTAAATATAACAGAAAGCAAATGTGGCTAGCATGTTTCCCCTGAAATGTCCTCCTTCATTAATTGAGAAACTCCTAAGTTTCCTTGTAATGTTGTCCTCTGAGTTTGTGTGCATGTTGTGTGTGAAGCAGAACCTTGGATTTTCACCTGAAATTAGAAAAATCATAGTTAATTTCAGGGTATATTAGTTGCAAATTTATATTGGCTCTAGGCATTTACATTATTTCTGTTGTCGAGTAGTGGTGAGAATTTCCGTTGGTACAAGCTGTAAGGCCAGAAGAAGGAAAACTGATGCTTTTTTACCTAAATAGTCAGATGTAGTAGCCTTTTCTGTTTGATGTTACCTTTGATGAAAATCACTTAACACTTTCTTAATATCTGATATTTCAGGCAAGTGGAAGTCTTAAAAGGTCTTGTGGGGAGAGGGTCTTTAATAAGTGAAAGAACTTAAGATCAATGAATACATTTGGGGCAGTAAACTGTTACTAGAGAGCAGAACTGTACATGTGACATCTCAGATAAGCTTTCACAGGTGATTCATTTAACCAGATCTGTTTAGGTGTTACAGATGCCTGTGTAACAGGTCTTAAGGCTACTCTGCAAATTCATTCTTTTCTTTCCAGGTCCTTTTTCAGATATACTGTTTACCCAAATTCTTGCCGTGGGAGTCAGAATCCAAAGAATAGGAGGAGGGCAGAAGAGTCCGATGCTTTGTGATCCTGCTCTTAGGTTTCCACTCTCCAGGATGCACAATACTCCCTCCTCCCCCAGTATTCATTAACAGGTGTTAAGGGAAAACTGACCAACCACCCTACNACTCCCTCCTCCCCCAGTATTCATTAACAGGTGTTAAGGGAAAACTGACCAACCACCCTACTCACTGATGGATGTACTACGTGGTCTTCCAAGTTTGCAGTGGCTTCTGCATTCTTAGAATAGCACTACTGTTAATACAGGTAGATGTGAGGGTGGAGACATCGGCCTGATAAAAGACTCTATAGCCCACTAGTTGTCCATAGTGGCTACAGGAGGAGGTTAGCATCTAGATGTGAAGGATGTTTTTATATCAAGAACTACCTGTGTTTTGTTTTTACCAAAGACATTTTGACTAGATTGACTTAATTTTATGTCTAACTGAAATATATGGGACACTATCGGAGCAATGTCCTTCATTGAGTGGCTAAGAACAGACTAACAACTTTCCTTTTGTTTCCCTTGAAGTACACATATTTGATATCATTTTTTTTTTAAAAGATGACCGGTAAGGGGATCTTAACCCTTGACTTGGTGTTG